TTTTTAGTAGAGGAAGGGTTTCATTATGTTGGCCAGGATGGTCTCGATCTGCTGAACTCATGATCCACCTGCCTTGGCTTCTCAAACTCCTGGGATTACAGGCATGAGCCACTGTGCCCCACCCGAATTGTGATTTCATTTTCATGATTTAGCTTTACAATTCTTCAAAATCCACAATTCTATTGATCTTTGACCAGATTAAAAACAGGAACAATGAGAGTTGCCATGGCCATGTGCTCAGTTCGTTTGTTCCAGTTATGTATGATTGCCTTCCCCTGCGTGAAAACTGGGTGAGGGGCAAGCCTTGTGGTTCAGTCCTCTGGAGTCCTGATGCTTGTTGGGCTTTTTCTCTTTGCCAGCACGCTCTGGCATTGGCAAACCAGTCATTTAGAGGGAGCTGAGAAGAGATAAACAGAATCTGAGAAAAGTAGGCAATGTGTGAGTTTTGCAAGGTTCAGGACTTTTTATCACAGCTGTAAGGTCAAGTACAATGTTGTGAGTCACTAAGGTGAATATATTAAGTCTCTCAGAATTTTTTCATTCCAAAAAAGAGCCTAGCTGTAAAGGTGTGGCTTCTGCAATACAGGAAGGCATCCCTGGAGGACGTCGGAATGGGGATAACTGAGCCATCCATGCCTGCTTTCCTACTGACCTCTCTGGCCACTTTTCTCCCACCCAAGCTAACTCATTCTACTTAATGAAATATTTGAAAGTTTCAGTTTCCCAAGCAGGAGTACAAGGCTCTGGTTGTTTCTCTATCTGTATTAGATGGCCTCCTACGTGCCAGTGACCATTCATGCCCAAGGCACGGAGGTTCAGTTTTCAGCCACCAGAACATTCTATTGCTTATTTAACATTTCCTCATGAATGTCTCAAACGTATCTTACATTAAACTGGCCTAGTGATCTTTTCTTCCCTGCACCCCAACATCAGAATCTTGTCCTCTCTCTCCGTGACTGGTACCATTATTCATCCACCTGCACACACCAGAAGAAGGGGAATCACACTCCCCGCTTTCTCTTACCACCCCTGTATCTAATCAATAGCTGATTGGCTATTGATTCTACCACCTAAATATCTCTCAAACCCATTCATATTTTCTCCATCTCCACTCTGTCTACCTTAGCCTGAACTACCATTCTCTGCAACGCTGTTCTCTATAGGGCCATCCTCTGTCTTCTGAACTACAGCACTGATGTGAACAGTTCTTCCCATATTCCCTCTTACTCCCTCTAATCCAATCACCACATTGTAGTCAAGAGAACTTTTAAGAATTGCTCATATGACTCTATTGTTTAAACTCTTTGATGGTTTCCTATTTTCTTTTATTTTTTATTTTTGTTTTTAAGATGGGGTTTCACCATGTTGGTCAGGCTGGTCTTGAACTCCCGATCTCAGGTGATCCACCCGCTTTGGCCTCCAAAGTGCTTGGATTACAGGCGTGAGCCGCCACGCCGGCCTGTTTTCCTATTTTCTTATGATAAAGACTCAAATTCTTAATATGACCTAAAACAATCTGCATAATCTGGCTTTTCAGCCTCATTTCCTGCTACACACTACTCACTTTATTCACCATAACACATCAGCCTTTCTTTTACAATTTGCAGTGATCCTTGCTCATGTCAGCCTGGCCTTTGCATATGCTGTTTCCCTTGCCTGGATATCCAGATATCCTTCAGAAGATACTTCTTATTACTCCCTAAAGGAGATCATCTCCAAACCCTCAACTCAGTTCCCAAGAGTTACTCTCCCAGTACCTTAGACCTCTCGTTCCTAATATTTACCATAATTCATATGAAATAATTATATAGTTATTTCACATTTGTCTCTCACTCTTGGATATAAGCCTATTAGGGTAGGGACCACATCTATCAGCTCATCACTAATCATCAGTAGCTGCCATGGTGCTGGGCACACAGCAGTAACTTAATATTTAATATTAATAAGGTAATAGTGCTGGAATCAGGCACTATTTTAAGGCTCTTCATGTGTAGAAACTCATTGAATCCTGGTAACAAACCTAAAATGTAGGTACTATTCTTCTTCTCACTTTACAGATGTAAAACAGGCACAGAGGGGTGAAGTAAGCTGCAAAGATCACACAGTGAAAAATGGAACTTGAACCCAGCAGTGCAGATCCAAAGCCCATACTTTTATTTTACTGCCTCTACATTTATTGAAAGCATGCCTATTTAAATGTTCACCAAAGTGAATTATTCAGATAATTGCTCATAAACAAATTCATAATTATAGAGCATCTCTACTGCAAAGTTTAATGTGTTTAACTATGGAGAAGTTTTTTTAAGTTTCCAGTACTGACACCATCTGTACTGGAAACTTAAAAAAAAAAAGATCTTTGCCAAGCCCGCAACAGATAACCTGTCCAAAGGTGAATACTATTAGTGATTCAAATAGGTTGAAATAATATTCAAGGCCTTTGTACCTCTTAGACTCATAAACATTTGGTTGCTTGATATGGTTAAAAGTATATATTTTATATATATATATATATATATGGCCTTTCTGTGCTGCATTAACCAATCTAAAAAGAGCAAACAAAATGAATATAGGTCCCATGGTTCATTACTCCTAGCTTAAATGTTAAACAATCGATAAATCAATTACATTTTAAATTGTTGCCTTGACCACTGTGGGCTGTCATTTTATTGTGGCTTTGGGAAGAGCAAAAATGCACAGAACAGAACATTGGGCAACTTCTCCTGCCCATAGTTGAGCTCTATTACTGAGATGAGATGCTGTCATCTGTGTTTTCATTTCCATATTTAATAATGAAAGTAGCACTTGCCAACTGTTATAAAGTTGTTCTGAGTAGGGTGTGATGATGTTTGTAAAGTGTGTAGTGCTAGAAGAAATGTACTAATAAATACCAAAGCACAAACCACTTAAATAGTGCACTATTTGATGGGAAGTAGATGATTCAAGATGACTCAGTCATTATTAATCTAATGCCCTAAAATATGAATGAGGGATTAATCCCAAGATGTTTCACATATTCTTCGAATACCAGAATTTTAAATTCTTGTATATTTTAAGACTATCCCTATTTGATTTTTGAAGAAATACTGAGAAGAGAAAAAAACAGTTAATTCCAATGACAGAGGACTCAAATGGGCAGAGATTTCTTAATGATATAGACTGGGAAACTGGAATACATCCAATTCGGGCTTCCCATTAAACCCATGGTGAATGGGTGACCATTTATCCTTCCTTAGGGGAGTTGCTGGGAATTTCCTCCGCATGCTATTCTGCTAGTTGGCTGTTTGCACATGGGGGATTCACAAATGCTTTCTGGTAAGAGAAGCGTCCCTCCAGCTATGGATGGACCGGTTCAGCCTAGGCTAGCTTGCCCATGGATGACAGTTCTTAGGCTGGCAAAATACTGAAGTTTGTGGGGGCCTTTAGGGTTGTCAATTCACAACTAAACTTATGTGGGACACTATTATTTGGACTGATTGTCAACTTTAGCTTTTTTTCCTTAAAACGAAATCAACTTTAACTCACATACTTTTTTTTTTTTTTGTATTCTACCTTAATGAGAATCGACATTTCAAAATAAATTTTGCGAATAGAAAGAAATCACAGGAAAGGTAAATTTAGAATATGTTTCAAACTACTTAAGCACTCTATCCTCCCAGGAACTTCACGGCTGAAGATACATTCCTCCTGGGTGGCACCATCTTCTGTGAATGCCAGGTTAGTGATTCCAGCAGGCTGTTCCTGGATGGACTCTGATACCTGGATTGCACGTGAAAACTTGGTGCCTACTTCTAGACTGCTGTTTCGTCTCATTTATTTTCTAGACAAACTGTGCTGCTCCACGGCAGTACCATCAATCAATGTGTCTTTTGTTTCGTGGCGCTTCCTAGGGATTTAAATTCAGACAGTATCATACAATACAATAAAGGTTTATTTACAACACATTCGCTTCATTTGACCTTCCTGTACCGGACTACCCTGGCAATCGGCTAAAGATTTGTCAGCAACTTTGCTGCTGGGATTTTTCTCATTTGGTTCAGTTTACTACAGCCTATCGTAAGTGATGCAGATGGATTTCTTTTGTAGTATGTGAACGTGACAACCGTGTTGGTTTGGGTCCATCATTAATCAAAACTGAAGATTGTTAGGCTCGATGGTGTAGATTTTGACTTTTATGTCTAGCTTCTGTGTGCTTTGTCACATTTCCCCTGCGACTCGTTTGCTTCCTAGACGGGGTGTGTTTCCTTATTTGATTTTGCATCACTGGAGGGAACTCAGGAAGCAGGAGAGGCTGGATTGGATATCACAGGGAATGCAGTCTTGCCAACAGAGGGATGGATAGAATTACAGAGCAAACGGACACACCCCCGCCTGTTCTCCACAGCGCAGATTTTATCAATATATTTCTAACATTGGGACCTCGTTTCAGCCTTCAAAAGTTTTTTCTTTTTTAGCGCAAACTAGACGTGCTCTGAGAGCCAAAACTAGCGTCCGCGAACCCCACCCCATTCGCCTCCAACGGACCTCGCTCGCCTTCCCGCCCACAAACAGCCACTACTACACTTCCCAGCAAGCACCGCGCAGGGCCAGGCCCTCGGCGAAGACCCCGCCCCACAAGAGGCATGCTGGGAGTTGTAGTGAGTGGGAGCTTTCCCACTACTCTTCCCTAGGCATTCCCACCTGGAAGACCGTGATGCGCTGTCAGAGCAGGTTCTCTAGTTTCGTACTCGTAGCTCAACGTTACAGAGGACTGCGCCTCCAGCCCTGCGGCTGCGCATCGCGTCAGTCCCGCGGCCTTTGCCCCGCCTCTTTCCACACCCGTTCCCCTGACAGCAGGGCTGCGCTTGGAGCCGCGGCGAGCCCCGAGCGCGCAGGCGCAGCAGCCCGGCGCCGCGTTAGGCAGGCCTGGAGGGCGGGACGAGCGCGAGGGGCTCTCGGCCGCCGGGGCGCGCACGTAGACAACGCAGAGACCGTCACGTGGGCCGCCGAAGATCGCAGTGCGCGTGGCCGCGGCGGCTGCTGTGAGGTTGAGTCAGTTGTGAGACCCGGAGCTGCTGACCCAGCGGGTGGCCCACCGAACCCGCGACACAGCGGCAGACGACAGGGCTCGGAAGCAGCGAGCCTGGCCCCGTCCTAGAGCTCGGCCGAGCGGGCACCGCCGTCGTTCCCCGCCCCCAGCCAGCAAACCGTCGCCGCGGGCGCGCCCCCGCTCTGCGCTGTATCTCCGATGGCGTCCGCCTCCGGGGCCATGGCGAAGCACGAGCAGATCTTGGTCCTCGACCCGCCCACAGACCTCAAATTCAAAGGTAGGCAGGATGGGGACACCCCCAGGTGGGATGGGGCACGCGGACGGCTGGCGGCGGCGGGGGGCGCGGAGGGCACGTCGGCGGCCCCGGCCCGAGGGAGCGCCCCCTCCCCCACGCCCCGCCGCCTGCCCTTTCCCGGCTGCTGCCTCGCCGCCGCCTTGGCCGGCCTGCCCCGCGCTCAGGCTGGCTTCTTTCCCTCTCGCCCGCCCGCGCTGCAGTGCGCGCGCCGGCCCGGGCGAGGCGGAGGGGAGCCGGGCCCTGGCGCCGCCGCCGCCGCCATCTTGCGGTCCCGCGGGGGCGCCTCCCGGGTGTCCGGTCCCGCCCGCGCCGCCGTCGGCCGGGGCCCGCGTCCTTGGCTCCCGAGGCCGACGGCGTGCTTCTGCGGGGCGTGGGCGGGTGGGCACCCGCGGGCGTGCGCTCGGGGCTGCGGTGGGGAGTGGGCTCTGGAGGTGGCGCAAGCTGCGTCCGTCTCCGGTTCCCGCTGTCAGCGGCGCGGGGAGGTGAGGGCGCGGCGCGGGACCCCTCGGGAGTGAGAGCAGTCCCCCAGCGCAGGCCCCGGCCCGGGGAGAGTTGGGTGCAGTCGGCCTAGGGCTCCGCGGAGGGCGTCGCTCCTCACCTTTCCGCCCTGGTTAGAACTCGGCTGTCAGGTTTAGGGCGCGCTGGGGAGGCGGAGGAGCCCGGCGAGGGCTGCCCGGTGCTGTTGGCACGGCCACGAGCGCGTGCGGGCAGGAGCGATGCGTCAGCCGCGAACGCAGAGTTGTAGGTTCATAGTAGCGGTGCTTCCTGCCTTCTACGACATTTCAGTGTGCCACCCGCGTGCTTGCTCTTATTTAGCCCTTCAGTTGAGCTGCTCTGCTGAGCAGCCTTCAGTGCGTGTGACTTTTTTGCCTTTACATTTGCCGTTTCCTACAGATCCTGAGAAGGCTGATAAGGTGTCAGTCACCTAGCTCTGGAACTTTGTAGGTTTGTTTTGTAGCACTGCCGGTGCTAAGTTTTTAGTCTGACTTGGTGATACTGGAACAATCCCAGGGGCTGTTTGATCCGTTTGCTTGTCAATATGTAGTGTACTTTAAGAAAGAGTTAACAACTGGACAGGTTTTTATTTTTGTCTTGTACTTAAGGAATACTGAAAGAGTGTGAACATCTAATAGAAAGTAGGTTCCTTTCTATCTTAAGTGTGAAGTGAGTCCCCTTTTGGAAGTCAGTGTCTTTTATTTCAGTTGTTGAATGAGAACAATTTTTGTGAGGTGTATAGTAATTCTAGTGCTAAAAGAAACAGTGAAATCCTTTTCCTTTATTGTTGTGTAACAAGAGGAAACCAACTACATTGTTTTCCGTAGGAAAAACTTTAGTTTTAGGAATTTAAATTATATTCTGAAATTACGAGATTAATATTGGGTAACTGCATTGCAAGTTTTTTAGTGCATTTACAAATTTCTTTTTCTTTTTCTTTTCTTTTTTTAAATAAAGACAGGGTTTCACCATGTTGGTCAGGCTGGTCTTGAACTCCTGACCTCAGGTGATCCGCCCGCCTTGGCCTCCAAAGTGCTTGGATTACAGGCATGAGCCACCACGCCCGGCCTATTGAATAGAAATGTGAGTGAGCTACTTGTTGGGTAAGGATTTGGTTTTAAGATAAGGTGCAGTGAATGTATTTTATTGCAAGTTTATGTATGTTGTGTGATTTTACATAGTTTTAGCTGGGAGAAAACTTTGAGGAATCATGAAATGTCCTAACTCAGCCATTATCTTGAGATAGTTTAATGTAAAGCTCTATGATATGTGTGTGTGTGTGTGTGTGTGTTTTAGTATTTCGTTTTTATCTTTTGACTGGCTGTGTTTACAGCGAACATTTCCCCTACTGGTTAACTGTGTAAATTGCCATTAGGTGCTTACAAGCCTTTACAACCAGTTTTAGGCCACGAAATGTCCACAGAGTTTGAAGGTTTCTCCTTGGGGAAGTTGTTACTTTGCTTTAGTAAGAGACTAATAATAGTGGAGAATCAGGTTTAAAAAAAAAACAAAAACCCTACACAGTGACTTATTCATGTATTTCCTTCTTTGGGGGTATTGGAGAATTATAGCTATGATTATGGAACACATTGTTATTGTGTTGCCAGTACAAATGATAAGACTAGTAAGGGAAAAAGGAAAGGTGTACAGACGGCGTAAGAGAGACACAACCCTGTCTGAGGAAAGAAGCCCTTTCTCTACCTGCCCTGTCCATCCCTGCCTTAGGAAGCATTTAAGGAAAAGGCTTGTTTTTCATTTCAGGGAAGGTTTAGGCCAAGACAGTGGTTGAGTAAACACACTGTTGTGAGAGAATGCCTGGTCCTTAAATGCTCAATAGTTTATTGTGTGTTTCAGTTCAAAGATGGAGATAATGGGGAGGATTGGGTGGTGACATTTAGTGTTTGATTCCTTAATATAATTGTTTTAGTTGAAGGTAAATTGTTTGCTTTGATGGAAACCTTTGTATATGCACAGCTCAACACTGAGGAGACTCATTTGGAATCTACAGTTTATTTGTGCTTTATGATTAAAAAAAAAATTTGACTTACCCTAAATTACTAAAAATTTTGTTTTTAAGTGAAGGACTTTTAAAAGATAGTTTGCAGAATTCTCTGTCATCTTCTAGTAGGTTTATTTTAGTTATTTTGATTCTGAGTTTGAGATGATTTCTCTAGGAGTGACTCATGTGATCATTCTGAAATTGGATGGTTTTTCTTTTATATACCTAACACAATCATCTTGAAGATGAGTTAACAGCATTTTGCACAATTTTGCAGAAGCAGATAACTAGTTCAGTACATTTTTCTACATACCTCAGTATTGTAAAAAAAAAAAGTTTGTTTTATACAGTTTTTAACATGCAAAAGTGCATTTATGATATAACGAATTCTGAAGTAGGTATCTTGTGTTAGTAAAGAAAAAGAAGTAGACATTGCTTTACTTCAAATTCTGTTGTTTAAACCTGGGAAATAATTTTACCTAGATTTCAGATTTGAAACTTGGTATTTTATGTGAAAAATTATTTTTTTGTCTTTAAAATTTTTTACATGATAAAATACTGTTGTATTACACAACATTTTGTTTTTCCCATCTGTTAGCAGTTTTGTTTTGTTTTGAGATGGAGTCTTGCTCTGTTGCCGGGGCAGGAGTGCAGTGGCTTGATCTTGGCTCACTGCAGCCTCTGGCTGGCTCCCAGGTTCAAGCAATTCTCCTGCCTTAGCCTCCAGAGTAGCTGGAACTACAGGCGTGCACCACCACGCCCGGGTAATTTTGAGTTTTCAGTAGAGATGGGGTTTCACCATCCTGGGCAAGCTGGTCTCCAACTTCTGACCTCAGGTGATCCCCCTGCCTCAGCCTCCCAAAGTGCTAGGGTTACAGGCGTGAGCCATTGCGCCTGGCTCCTATTAGCAGTTTTGGGGGAAAGTTTGAAGAAGAAGAAAGTTTATAAAATGCTAAACAAATGTCATATATATTCTTAATGATCAGATAGAGAGGAAAGTAAGCCAAAACCCTTGTGGTGAACATGTGCCCCATTCCAATAACACATCAACCAAGAAAATTAAGCTCTGTAGGGATCAAGGGACGTCAACATCACCTACTGCATCTTTGGATAGAAACGTATCACTGAGAAACAGCACGGGGGGAAAATAGAGAGTACTCCTCCTCTGGATGGATATTTAGCACATTTTTAGGTGTTTCCAGTCAGCTCTTCATGTTTCCCCTAAGGCTGTACCCATCGCCTGGGGAATGCCCCCACCTCTTCTAAAAACATGAATGTAATCTTTAATCGTATTACTCCATTCCTTAAGACAGGCGTCCCCAAACTTTTTACACAGGGGGCCAGTTCACTGTCCCTCAGAGCGTTGGAGGGCCGCCACATACTGTGCTCCTCTCACTGACCACCAATGAAAGAGGTGCCCCTTCCTGAAGTGTGGCGGGGGTAGTGGGGGCGGATAAATGGCCTCAGGGGGCCGCATGCAGCCCGCGGGCCTTAGTTTGGGGACGCCTGCCTTAAGAATTTTTAAGTAGCTCTCAATCGCTCACATAATAAAAGTCAGATTTTTTTTTTTGATAGGGCATATGATCTCTTACATGATGTGCCACTTCCTATTATAACACCTGTTAATCTATACACATCCATACTTTATTCTGTGGGAGAGAAAAATCCTGCTCATACCCAAGCTGCTTCGTTCCTCTGTTTTTGCTGGCTAAGGTAAAATTCCTTATGACTCAGACCGTGTTCCATGAGATGTTTTCCCACAGGTTTTCAATCACTTCATTGTTTCAGCATATAAATACACCAGAGTCTTTAAAAACAAATAAGCAGACATGTACTTCCTTGACCATAACTCCTTCTAGTATGGGTTTCTCCCTGTCCTTCATTTCCTTTGCATTCATTTTTTGGGAAAATAGTCCATATTCCCTGTTTTTCCAGTTCTTCACCTTTTTTGCTCTCCTTAGTCCATGGTATCTTTATCCTCACTACTTATTGCTAACTTAATCATCTCCACTTTTTATCTTTCTTGACTTCTCCATGGCACTGGACGTTACTGACAGTTTCTCTAAAAAACTCAATTCTTTTGGTGGTTTCTTTAACACCATTGTCTTCTTTTTTTTTTTTTTTTTTTTTTTTTTTTGAGACTGAGTTTCGCTCTCGTTACCCAGACTGGAGTGCAATGGCGCGATCTCGGCTCACCGCAACCTCCGCCTCCTGGGTTCAGGCAATGCTCCTGCCTCAGCCTCCTGAGTAGCTGGGATTACAGGCACGCGCCACCATGCCCACCTAATTTTTTGTATTTTTAGTAGAGACGGGGTTTCACCATGTTGACCAGGATGGTTTCGATCTCTTGACCTTGTGATCCACCCGTCTCAGCCTCCCAAAGTGCTGGGATTACAGGCTTGAGCCACCGCGCCCGGCCAACACCATTGTCTTCTAATTTTCTTTGCTCAATTTATTGTCTTTATTTGTGGCATATTTCTCAAATGCT